CAATATCTCTTCAATGTACCAGTCATACAAGTTCTCTTCGGGGTATAAGACCTTTTACAAGCTGACAATACATTCAGATGAAGAAAAAAGAGCATATTTTTACCTCTTATGTTTATCATTATATTTCCTTTAATGCCTGTTGAATACAACTTATCCAAAAAAAATTGGGAATAGATGCGTCACGAAAAATGAAGTCAATATCGTAAAAAGAAATTGTAAAATCCTTATAGTTTCCGAGAAAAGAATTATTGAAGTTGTAGTATTTATAACCCTTACATCGCTGGGCTATTGTACTCTTTAGCGTCATTTGCGTTGTGGGCTGTACACTCTTTCTCTCTACGTTTCCGAATACTGAAATCAGATAATTAATATTTTAGTGATATTGTTTACATTAGTTTTTCAAGTGTCAAAAATGGCTTAAGTGTATAACAACTGGGAGTTGGTGGAAATCGTTTTAATTTATGGAAAAGCAAGACAGCATATTTTGTGTTAGTTCGAGATAGGCCCAAATGTCAGTGGATAAAATTTTGAAAGATTGTAACATGAGATATAAAACGCCAGTCTTAAGAGATACAGGACGTCAAAGTGAAAAAAATATTTTCATTATTTTTAATAACGTTTTTAAAATTACATACAGATATTGCTCAAATTTGGGGTATCGGAAGTTTTTTGAGTAGCCGAATTCAAATCCGGTCATAATTTAGCTTTTACTTATTAGAGGGCGCCACTTGCGGTACTTTGCGAGTTTTTAAAATTTTCACCACCAAGAACGGCAGTGACAGCTGTGTTAAAAATTAAGGCGATGTTTCGCATTGTATTAGTTATGTGCTGTCCAAATTTGGTTCGTGCAACTCTCTTGGCTTCGACAATGCCTATGTATGTGTCAACATTTTTGTTCCTTGGCGTATCTGCCTAAAGTTTTCTACAATGAAAAACTAAGTGTGTCAAATTTCATTACGTTATACCTACTCTAAGAAAATCCTAAAATTAAATCGAACGTCAAATTAATCCTGTGAAAGTTAGTCTCGAAGTTAGACATTTTCTATTCTGAAAAAATTTCCTAAACACTTTCCATGTCAAAAAAAAGAACATTTTACTAGCAAACAAATCTAAAGAAAGCCTAAGCCACTGACATTCAGATTTTCATAGAGAGAGAGAGAAAAACAAATTTTCACGTAACAACGAAAAAAAACAAATTATTTATTTTAAAAGTGATTACTTAAATAGTTTCAAAAGAAAAATGTTCACATTTCTACAGGTTTTTAACATATATTCAAACCGTAATATCTATTTTTCGCATATATTTTAAACCTACAGTAGCAATAACAATTAAAAATAATATTTACCTGACAATGATGATATTTAGTTTGTGTTATGGTAGAAAAATTACCACTCGTACTAACTATAAAGAATGGGTTCTATAATTATTGATTCCTATAATCACCACAGCTCCTGCATTAATGTTAGGTATTTTTCTACCCACTTATAATTTCGTTACCTCTATTCTTTCTATATTAACGTAAAAGGTGTGGGCTAATTTGCAAGTTCTCCTACTCACACGTGTAATATTAACATATATTTTTTAAAATTAATTATTCAAAATATAAATAAGCCTTTAACAGAATCAGCTACAGTCCGTGCGATATTTGTGTAAGCCAATAAAGTTCTATTATCGGAACTACCGTAACAATTAACTGCGGCAAGGGCATGCCTTGAAATTTTCCGCCAACGTCGTTCTACCGCTGGTGTTGATTACCACGGCAGGATCATGTCTTGCAATTTTCCGCCAATGTCTTTTTACTTCGGGTGTCGGTACTCACAAGGAGATGTGTATACACAGAGCATAAGTGCTGGCTCCATCTATCGTGCTACTTCCCACCTACGTCATTCTGTGACCTACAATTTTCTTTCAAGAAAACATAAGTTTGATTATAATATGCTACATTTGTCTTGAATAATTTCTATATTAGTACTAAATTTTAAATGATTTTAAAACTATAAAAGATTTGAAATTAAATTATATATACTTACAAATAATATAAATTCTAAGAAAAATTGAGTACTTACAGCATAATTGTAATTGTCAACTATTCTTCATAACTTCCGAGTAAGTTCCTGATTTTTAAATAAAGCTTTGAGCTCACGTTTCCTTTTCCTTCGCTAACAAGGTGCGGTAAAGTTTTTCGATATGAAATTGGGTTAAAAAGTTCGTATAGACTTACGGCAGAGTCCACCTCCTTTAAAATCAGGATGTAGAAAGTTAGACACATTTTTACCTTGACTTTCAACATCTCATACTGAAACGCCGGTATTTTATTTGAACTCTATGTTTCCAATTGGAGATTTTGTTGTGAATATTTTTTTTACGAACACAAAACCTATTACGACTCGATATAAGAAATTTCGGTACCACAATGTGCGGTATAATAACTGTATTTTAAGTCGGGACAACATATTTCGGTTCGGATCGAGACAAAACAATTTTACGAGGATAAATTTTCCTCCGTTCCTTATTGTGTATTTTTGTTTATTTTCCCGTATGTTACTTTACGTTAACAAAGGTAAAAAATGGGAAACACTGGTGGCTATTATTACGTGAAACAAAACCCGTGTATTATTTTAATTGGATCCTCGTACAGAAAAACGATATATTTGTTTCTCTTAATCCCACAATCTATTGTGCGCGATCGGACGTGTTGAAAAAATAATTAGATCTAATTTTAGCTCCTGAAAGAGGAACCAGACGGAGAGTGGTGCTTTTCTATTTCTGATGGCAATAAAAATAATTATTTTATGACTGTACGTCTGCGGTTACTAGGAAGCGGGGTCGTCCATCAAAATATGTAACTTTGTTTTGAAATCGATTCGAAATCACCAGTTCATTTACCCACATGGTACAGTCATTGAAGCTGAAAATCAGGTGTAACCTCCGAATTCTTTGAAACTGCATGGATTTACATAAAAATTTAGAATAAGGCTCATCTTACGCTTTTTGTTTTTTAGTTTTTTAGGGGTACAAACTACTCCTAAGTAAAAAAAAATTGAAAAACTAAGTTTTAAGCATTTTATTGATAAAAATCTTGTTCAAGCACAAAGATTAAATAATGTTCCATGTTCTCGAACATCCTTTATGACATATTTGATCTTTTCGACTCTTTATTTAACCCTTAAAAACTACCCCTATGCAAAAAATAATGATAAAAAACTACTTTTTAAAGATTTGGAATGATTAAATCGTGCAATTATTTAAAATAAAAGTTACCTTATAGCTAATAAAAGAATTTTTCCCTTTCAACCATAAAAACCACCCCTGTATTGATAAAAATGATAAAGAATTAGTTTTTAAAAGTTTGGAATGCTTCGACGGTGCAATTATTTAAAATAAAAGTTTCCTCTTTGCTTATGAAAGAATTCGTATCTCATAACACTTTTCAACCCTTATAAATCACCCCTGTGCTAAAAAATGAAAAAAAAATACATTTTAAATCTTGGAATGCTATAATTGTGCAATAATTTAAAATAAAAATTCCCTTATATTGTTTATGAAAGAATATTTTACTTTTGCCATTTTCAACTCTTATAAACTACCCTTTTAGCAATATTAATGTAAAATATTTTTATTAAGTATAATCGATTTTTAAATATAATAATCAATCATAAAAAAATCCTAAGCTATAGTATCCTACAAAAAACCATTTTAAAGATAATTTCAAGAGTTGTAAGACCTTTTGCATATAAAACCTTCGTTTTTTAAAGGGAAAGGATCGAAGGGCTCGACACAGGTATTTTTTTCACTAAAATGGATGCTTCAAGCGGCGATATCTCCTTTATTTTTTAAGCTATAGGAATAAAAAAAGCAAAATATTTGTTGAAAAAAAGCTACATTTTTGTTGTCTATCATTTTTTACGTATATTTCATAGTTTCAGAGTTATTATATAAATAAGGCAATTTTTTTTGAATAATGAAAAATACATTTTCAACTTTTACCGTACTTTATTTAAAAAATACGCATTCTAAACCGGTCTAACTTCAGGATCGCATGAAAAACACTAAAAAAAACTATTGTAAAGGATCTACGATAAATTTTAATTCTGATGGAAATGGTACAGCGTTTACTGATCATTTTTCCTTAAAAAATATGAGCAACACATCTGTTTTTGACGATAACTCCTTCAATTTTGCTATAATTAATTTTTATAAGTGCTCATTTTGAAGGTCTTTTTGAGTACTACAAAAAATTCCTGGAGCGTTATACACGTAAAATTAATAATTTTTCCGTTATTGGACGTTGAATACATCGATTCGAGTATTCCCTCCCAAACAAGTCCTCTTCCACTAACCATATTTCGCTTTCTATAGGACGTACAACACTTTTTAACGATTTTCTTTGTTTATTTATAAGCTACATTTTTGTTAATTACACTTTTTTTTGTTTTTTTTTTCACTCAAAATTCCAAGTTTTCAATCAAGAATAACTAAAAAATATTGATTTCTCGAAAAAATTATTCGAATATTTTTTGCTCAAAATTTGATTCTCTATCGATTTCCAGCGTTATATTTGAAAAAAATTTCCACCCCCGAGAAGGGGTGTCAACCCCCAACAGGGTGGAAGCGTTAATCGGCGCTATGTCACTAATGTTCATTCACCTTTTCTCTAACTATCTGCCAAATTTCAAGTCGATCCGTTCAGTTTCAAAGAATTCGGAGATGAAAAGCTTCAATGACTGTACTAACAATATTGTTGCAAATTAACGTTCGCCATATACTGTTTTCATTTTAATATAAATTCAATCTATGCTCGGCTCGGATATATTTTCAATTTTACGTTTGTCATAATGAATTAAAATTGAATATTATAATTAACGATCAAACGAACTTACCTTAAATGAAGTTCGATCGTAATTATATAATTGTCCAGTCCTCGATATCACTTAGGTATACTAGGTAGATGTTTAGAGACAGTAAATGCAGTTGCGCAATGAAGAAAAGAAATAAGTTTTTATTTAATTGATAAGATAGCTTTAGCATAATCAGTGTTCTTCGCTATAGGTCGATTATAGAATTTTGCAAACGTTCCGGATTTCCCGGACCATCCCACCGTTTGGCAAATCAGTTCCAGGGATACACCCTGTCGTAGTGCCGCAGAAGATGAGCAATGCCTTATGGAATGTGGTTTAAATTTTAAGACGTCTATGCCTGCGTTAGCTAGAGATGTTTTAACCCAGCGACTGAGACTTTGTTTTGTAGCCCTGGCGTGAGGTTTTTTGTAAGTTAAAAACATAAAATCCTGTTGTCCTCTGAAGTCTGTAGTCCTATCGATATATTCTTTTAAGGCTGATGCGCAACAAAGAGCAGGTTTTTCTTTAAAAAATGGTATGTGTAATGTTGGTTGCGGCCTATTGGTGCCCGACGTTTTAATGGGGTCAGTTATAGCGATTTGAATTTCTTTGTTGTGTTCCATGACGTTAGAGACTCTTATCAGGGAAGTGGTTTGGAGCCGGCCGCCTGTTATTAGTGCCAGTAGAGTGACTAGTTTTGAAGATAGGTCTTGAAAGCTGTAAGGTCTGGGAAGGCTCGCAAGGTATTTTAGCAGGGGGTTAGGGTCCCAAGTTATGTCATATCTGGGTTGTGAGGGACGAAGCTTTGAAATACCTTTCATAAATCTCTTTAGAACAGGTTCATTTGCCAGATCCCTGTTAAGAATTAGGGAGATGGCTGATCTATGTGAGTTAAAAGTGCCATATTTAGCCTGACCAGAACTATAAATAGACTGTAAGAAGTTTATTACGTCGATGGTGTTAGCTTGATACATCGGCACGTCATTATTCTTGCAGAAAGACCACCACAGGCGGTAAGTGGTATTGTACTGCCTCAATGTGTTTTCTGTTAGTGATGAAATAATTATGTCGGAAAGTAGCTTCCAAGATATTCATTTGTTCGTAAGCTCCCCTGATAATATCCCGACCGCCAGGATAAGTGTTGGTGACATTGGGTGTGTGTCGCTGAAAGGAGAAGACACGAGATTAGGGTTGGGTCCTAATAAAAGTGGTTCACCGACTAGGAGCTTGGAAAAGAGTGGAAACCAGGGTTGTCCTTGCCACCATGGTACAACCACTATGCCTGTTGCTGTTTCTTGTTTGATTTTCTTGGGGTCCTCAAGATTAAGTTAAATGGGGGAAATGCGTAGAAAAACAGGTCTCCCCATTTCAAAGTAAAGGCATCTACTGCCATTGCCCCAGGATCCTTTACCCAGGATACGTATCTAACACATTTGTGGTTGATGTTTGATGCAAATAGATCTATTTCGGGAGATCCGAAGTTTTGTACTATTGTGTTGAAATATTCATGTGATAGGGACCATTCAGTATCCACTGAGAGGCGACGAAATTCTCTGTCGGCCGTCGAATTATCCGAAGAACTTATATATGCTGCATGCAGCCAAATGTTTTTTGACTCACACCACTGCCATATTTCTTTGGATAAGCCGCTCAAATTGGGGTACTGAATGCTACCCATTCTGTTAATGTAAGAAACAGCTGTATTATTATCGCATCTAATAAGGATACTGCAGTGCGAGCAATTATTGGCGAAACATTTTATACCATGAAAAATTGCTTGTAATTCTAAAAAATTTATGTGGTGTTTCTTTTGGTCATTGGACCAGTATCCGTGGGTCCTGTCGTCCCCACAACATGCTCCCCACCCTGTGAGTGATGCATCCGTGAAAATTTCGAGTTTAAAACTATCGTTTTTAATATCATTAAATGATGCAGATATATTGTTTATCCACCACAACAGATCAGGTTTTAAATAGTCAGGTAGTGACATCTGACTATCGAAGTTCATGTTATTGGCTGAAAGAGCTATGAATTTTTCTCTTTCAAGGGATTTGGTATACATCCAGCCATATTTGACAGCTGGGCAAGCTGATGTCAATATTCCGATAAATTTGGCCAGAGATCGAATTTTACAATGAGATAAATGGAAAAAGTGAGTAGCCCATTTCCTGATTTTTTCCTTTTTTTTTTCACGCAGGAGTTTGATGATTAACTTTCTGCTGTCAAATATAAATCCCAGATATTTGCATGATCTGTCTGGGATTAGGGAGCTTTTTGTCTCGTTGATAATAAAGCCTAAAGATTCAAGTAATCTTACCGCCACTGCCGTGCTGGATAAACAATTTTGGTAGGTTTTTTCTATTATTAGGAAATCGTCGAGGTAGTTGACGCATGTTATTCCCCTAGAGCGCAGGTGAGTAACGATAGGTTTTATTAGTTTTGTAAAGCAAAACGGTGCTACTGAGAGGCCGAATGGCAGACAGGTAAATTGGTATAATTGCTCGTCAAAGTAAAATCTCAAAAATTTTCTATAATTTGGGTGTATACTGATGAGAAAGTAGGCATCCTTAAGGTCTATTGAGGTCATAAAGGAATTTTCTTCTAATAATTTAGAAACCGTTCTATAGTCCTCCATTTTAAAGTGTGGTGTTTCCACGAATACGTTTAATCTTTTCAGGTTTAGAATAAAACGTTTTTTCCCACCTGATTTTTCTGTAAGAAAAATTGGAGAAATAAACTGGTCAGAACGATAGGCACATTTAGTGATTGCCCCCAAAGTCAACAGATTTTGTACGGCTGCTTTCATAGAAGCAAGTTCAGTTTCCGATAATTTATGTTTGGGAATAACATTCTGACAAGGAGGATTTGATTTAAATTTAATTTTATAACCTTGTACCCATGACAGAATGGTTTGGTTACGAGTCAGTTGTTTCCAAGCTCCTAGAAAGTATGTGAGTGTACCAGCAAAACTTACCTCTAACGCCTTTTGCGGTTTGAGTATTTGTCCGAGTCCCTCGATGTGGATGTGTGCCCCTTGAACTGCCTCACTTCCTTTTTGGATTGGGCGGGGCGATACCTGTTTAAAGCCCCAGGTCCTCTGCTTGTACTAGGTCCCGCTTGGAATTTGTTAGCTATTGCCCCCCCCCCCTTCTTCTGAATGCTAGGAGAATAATTTAATTGTTGCGAGGGGCGCAACTCCTTGCCGGCTTTTTCCAGCGACTTAGCCGCCTTTATTTGCTCTCCTAGTTCGGGCCCGAAAAGTAGATTACTTGGGGGTATTTTTTCCACCAAGTTTTTAACTTGTTTACTTAAGAGTGGACCCATTAAGTGACGACGGGTTTGAGAAATGTCATTAAACAAGTGGCAAAGGATGCGACTAGAGTCGGAGAGTTGGTTCAAAAGTTTATCACGTAAAGGTTTTGGAATATTTTCTCCTTCCGTCAAGAGTGTATTCATGGCCTGCCCCATGATTGACACACCTTTGCCTAGTTGAGATTGGTATTTTTGGTGGGAGGCATCTCTTACCGAGTACATGGATGGCATAATTACCTTTAGTTCGGGGTTAGTCTCTGGTGGACATAGTATGTTGCAGTTATCTGGATAACTATATTTTTCTTCCAACTTTTCGCGGTCTGTTTTTGGTAGACCATTCTTGATTATATGGGTCCATCTCGAGATTAATGCCTCATGTAACTCGAAACCTGATGGTTTCGAACCGATAGGATCCTCTCCTAATAATTTCAATACGTCCTCTGATAATACAACATCATTATGTAGCTGTAGCACGGGTGAAGATGCCGAATTATTTTGGGGCGAAGCCGGCCCTGGTACGCTACTAATGTCAATTGGCGGGGTGTTGGGAGGACTTGTGTCCGCAATGCCGCGATCGGCAGAGCGGCCATGTGCCTCCGTACTGTACCAAGTACGGCAGACGTCCGGTGAAATTGAAACCGAAGCGCTCGGGCTTCGACTTTCAAGTCTGTATGACGAGTCCCTGCGTGGTTCAATTCTGCTCCGAGAATCACAATCACGATAACGGGATGTACGCCCCGACTGGGGTGTACGTCTAGGTGAGCGAGAACGAGATCTGTGTCTCTCAGCGCGATCTAACCTTTGTTCTAGTTTTGATAACCTCCGTAAAAGCTCATCCCTAGAGTCCTGTCTATCAGAGGAACGTTTACGTTCTTTTTTGTGTTTTCCCATTTCTAAAAGAGAATTCCTAAAAGGGGAATCGTTAAATTATTACGTTGTTAAGACTTACCACGTAAAAGTCGGTCTGCGGCAGCGTGTAGTCTCGGCGATGCACGGAGAACGAATGAGTACAAGGCGCGCCGTGGCAACGAGGACACGGCAGGGAGAGGGGACTTTTACATACTTTACAAACGTGCAACGGCGAGCACGCAGGGGCGTACTACCTAGTATACCTAAGTGATATCGAGGACTGGACATGAAATATAATAGAGAGACTTAATTACATTATTCCTTAGCAAATCTTTAATTTTTCTATAAAAGTAAAACACCTACATTTACATAATTAAAAAATTATATTCTATAAATGCAATAGCCATGTATTAGTAAAACTTTGTTGTATTTTGCAAAAGATATTATAAATTTGACACTTCTATTTTAAGTTTAATCCCTCGAATAAATAGACCGTTCAGATTCATTAATAAAAAGTTATTATAATTCAAGAATGTTGTATTTTAGAAAAATGGAAAATACAGGGTATCCCAGGGTATGTGGGCAATCTCTCGGTTTTATACAGGGGACGTTAAAATAACATGACATGATTCTATAAAAATTTTCCCTAGAGGGCCCCCTACGTAGATACAGGCCCCTAAAGGAGGCCCCTGAAAGTCGATTTGAATTTTAATATACGTAGTAAATACCAATACCAGTATACCAATACCAACAATACACAATTGATAGTGGCACTATGAGTATTCACCCTCAAATATTTGTGAAGTTTGAAATTCCCCAAAATATTCCGTTCCTCCCTAATTTTACAGCTTCAGCTGTTTTGCATAAGCCCGCATTNTAAGCGTTATGATGGAACTTGTTATTTAATATGAAATATTTAGAACAAAGGAATTTTGGAAGGTTTATAGGAATGGCAAAATCAGTATTACTTACAAAACCGAAATTAAAGTTGTTTTCATTTTTCGGGCGTTGGCGAGGGAAGTACAACGATACAAGTGACTTTTCTAGTTTATAGAAACCTTAGCCTGCCTTGTATTTCCTTCAGGTTTGCTCGCTTTGGTTTCTTTGCAAATCCTGGGATGAAATTTAGATTTGGACTGGTATATTTAGGTCGATTAGTGTCTCAATCGTTGAAACGAACAAAAATTTTGATTTTTAAAAATTTTTGGACTATATCCTACCGATCGACTGCGCCAGTTATGGTTTCTGGTTTAAACCTTTAAATAAATTTAAAAAATTCTATTCAAACATTTATTACAAAATGATACAATATAGTTGTTAATTAAATGAAAGCTAAGACCGAAGTGTGTGTCGGTTGCTTATTACATATTTGCCATCCGCAACAGTTCATCATTTCTGCGAACACAGTGGCGTGCCATAACTCGCGTTTAGCGAACACAACTGCTGAATATTAGCACTCAACCTGTTTAGTGTTGATTACTTGCAACAGTTGCGGATTCGCTAAACGCAAATTTCTCTCAACTCTGTTATCAAAAGTTCATTATATTAGGTTAGAACCTCTATGTTGTTATTGTACCAACGTATATGTATGTACGCTAATAATAATAATAATAATATCTAAATTGCAAATGTTATGGATGACATAATACTGGATTATTTATTGGAAGATCACCTTGACCTAAATATTGTTCAAGTAGTAGTCGATCGGTATGCACCGGGAGATGATATTGCCCCTCAGTTAGCAGTTCCAACATTTAACGAAGGATATGTAGAAAATGTTGTACCGAATTACTCACTGTGTGAATTCAAAAGT